TTGGTCAACAAATTCGGAACATTTCAAGACTATTTTTGGGTGTCGTTTTCTCATAGAACAAAATATTTCTGTAAATAGTGGCCTTACTAACTTTCCAACGATATCAAATACTTAATCTGACCTAATTTGATCGAGAACAGTAAAATTCTGGTGCCACGTCGATAATAAGTTACAAATAGGCCCAAGATCGTGAAACTTGTGTCGACTTCTGTTGAAATATCCCTAATTAAGCCTTCCTTATAACTCGAAGTTAAAGCCTGGTCAATGTACAGTACATTCCCAATTTAGCCTTCCTCTGGCGGTTGTGTCGATTCTATGTTCCCTTCAACACAGTGGAGTTTGACTGTAATAATAATAATAATAATAATGAGGATTTATCCATCCACAAGGTGCATGCTCAAAGCGCATAAAATGAGAGAAAAGACACAGGTAGTGAAATAATAGTATGAAATAAAACTTATGAATGATAGCCTGAAATAAAGCCTATGAATAATAGCAGGATAAAATGTCTATGGATTAAAGTTCATGAATGATAGGGTGAAATAAAGTCTATGAATAATAGCCTGAAAATAGTTGCGTCTTGAGTTTTGATTTGAATACAGTTAATGATGATGAAAGTTTGATGTCCAGAGGAAGTTTGATCCATAGTCGAGGAGCTGCGTGGGTAAAAGACTTCTGTCCATAGCTGGTAAGATTATACTTTGGTGTGTTCAGAAGATTCAGATTTTGAGATCGAAGAGTCTTTATAGGGATGTAGTCTACTAGCATATTAGAAAGATATGGTGGTGCCATATTATTTTGACATTTTTACACCATACACAGAATTTTAAAGTTGATTCTCGCTTGGTATTCATCTGATTTGTTCTGTCTGGAATCAGACCATCGTTTGATTTATCAATTATGGATATTAACAATACCACATGTTTCTGGAAGTTTCTGAGCCGTTGATGATGGTGGTTATCACGATGACGTGAAATATTCACTGTGGTTTTTTTACCATGCATTTGCATGGGTCTGGTCTAATGTGATGTTCCAGACAAATGCAGGTGAGCTACTGGATCTGCTCGCTATTTTCAGTGTATGGTATCATCTGGAGAGTGATGAATACAACTAATAAAGCTGTCAAACATAATTATCTAAGTATTTGGCATTTGTTGTGATGAAAAATGAATTCATACACATCTGTTTTTCAGTATTTCAGTGTAATGGTAGAGTGTTCAAAGGGTACCAACGAAAAGGAGTTTTTATGTTAATTCATTCAATAAATCTGTGCATTATAAAATATGACTTAACTTTTTTTTTAAACATTGGGTTAACACACAGGGCCTTTGTATGACTCGTGAGGGTATAGGATCTACAGAGTTGCATCCCTTAGAAACGACAGGATCTGCTGTATCTCAGTTCTAATTCCACATTCATCATCTGTTCTTTATTGGTTTGTACAACCATGTTGTTAAACTTCGTGCATGAACTGGTGCAAACCCTACCATTGAGACCGCCGTCATATACAGTCATTGGACATAAGTTTTCGTCACTGTGCATAATTTCCATAGACTTACATGTTAATTTGGTGCAGCTAGAAAAACTGTCTTGAATTTATTTTTTGTTTGATCTTGTTCGTATTTTGCACATGTGTCGTGAATCATCTCAGCAGCAAAGACATAATTTCCGTTTTATTTTCCATTCAGTATTTCAAGAAAGACCACACTTTGATTGATGCGTGTCATGGTTATGACAAGTTTTAACATGGCGGACTATGGGGAAAGAATACACAATGTTGTATATATGTTGCTCATGTAACTACAATGCGGAATACTTGAAGGAACATTACATGGAAATTATGTATCTGTGACCAGGATGCTTTCCTAACAACCTGCAAAATTTTACAACCAAATAACGAAAACTGAATTAATGAAAATTATTACAGCTACACTAAAGTAACATGCAAGTCTATGAGAATTTTGCCGACTGACGAATACTTATGCCCCATGACTGTAGCTGGAATATTGCTGAGTGCGGCGTAAAACTAAACTCACTCACTCGCTCCCTCCCTCCCATTGAATGACCTTGACAACATGTGTTCAGCAGATACCACTAAGCCACGATGCTTGCCTTGTCAAGTGAGAAAGAAGTAGTCACTGTGATGTGAGTGAGTGAGTGAGTTGAGTTTGACACCGCACTCAGCAATATTCCAGCTATATGGCGGGTGTCTGTAAATAATCAAGTCTGGACCAGACAATCCAGGGATCAACAGCATGAGCATCGATCTACACAATTGGGATGCGATGACATGTGTCCACCCAGTCAGCGAGCCTGACCACCCGTACCCGTTAGTCGCCTCTTACAACAAGCATGGGTTACTGAAGGTTCGTTCTAACCCGGATCTTCACGGGTTCACTGTGATGTAAACTGAACCCTCGTCAGTGTATGAAGTAAGGCCCGTCCAACCGCCCGAGACGGGCCAGATTTCTGACAGACGGTCTAAATTTACAGCTAGCCAGCCCGATGGTCTGGTAAAATAATTCAAATAACATGTTCCATACATCTGAGTAAATTGACAATATCTTAAAATCTTATTTTCCACTTGAGCGTTACATTTAGACGTGACAATTATACTGTTTGAACATTGAACTATCGTATCGCGAGCTAAAAGCACTGAGTTGGTATATATTATCACTATAACAGCTACACATAACAAAGGATAGCTACTCAACTCAAAATGAGAATACACCATTCTATCAAGGTCTAGATTACATGTGTAGACCCGTCAAAAAAGGAAACAGTTGAAAAACATATACTGTACAAGAAATTGAATGGACTATGTAAGATGTGACGAATCGTCAAATGGCGCATACTCAAATGGCCGCATGGATCACTGGGTATAATGTCACTCTGTCACAAAGCGACGCCGGTGACCTGTGACAGGGACGACCACCCTCCTGCATCTTGCAGTTACAGCTGTTGGCAGGCCGAAGCAGTTCCAGGTTGAAATAGCATAGCTGGCCTCGTCTTTTTCCATTGTGAGCAAGTCTGGAGTGAGTGAGTGAGTTAATATTTAACGTCACATCGGCAATATCTCAGCCATATCGTGACGAAAACAATTTATACGACAAAAAGTGAAAACATTTTGAAGATTAAAATCTGTCGACGATCGACAGTAAAATACTAGAGAATCACAGCTATGAGTATAAAACTAGCGAGCAAAGCTAAAACATTCCAATTAAAGAAGACAATACAGTATAAGAGACGGGCTATAGATCGCCAACAACTGAAGGTAGATCACCATACTAGGAACCATGGGGACTTACATTACTTTTGCTACCTGCATGGACCCTAGCTGGATTTACACCATCCCTTCAGCCGCTGGCGATTGTAGGAACATTTAGCCGGCAATTAAAAGAACAAAGATACTACGTTTAAAATACGGTAAATTTACATTTTACTTTGAAAGTATTGGGACTTACGTACCCTCTCAGGAGGAGCAAGTCTGGAGAGAACACTAAATGGACACGTGCATGTTTCCAGGCCAAAAATGCCCTGACCAGTTTTGTTCTTAGGTAAGTTCCTTCCATCCAATGGTCAGCCTTCTGCCGATCTACAACCTCCATCACACCCACTCCCCTCAAATTGTACTAGGCCAAACCTTCCGGGTTTCACCTGATTTACAGAATGTCAGGCACAGAAAGAATCCAACTCATGACGTCAAATAGCTTGACAATAACAACAAATTACACTAAGTAAACCATAAACGTTCATTTATTCAATACAGTATATCAGTACATGAAAATACTGGGTCCAGTTTTAGAACATTAATGTTATAAACATCTTATCTGTACATAACATAATATAAATTGAAGACATCAAAGTGACAAATGTCTTAGAATTATTAGTAGATTGCATTTGAAATGATTTGTAGACGATCTTGGATAGTATATAATTTACTTACAAATTATAGGTCTATACTTATTGGTATTTTATTTCATTTTCGTTTTGTTATTTTTTTATTTTTGTTTTTGTTGATTAAAGTTAAGACAAATGGTAAATCAGGAGAATTACGGCAAGAAAGGTAACAACAAACCAGTTTTGACAAAGGAAACCCCTTTATGCACTAAAAGGAGACTTTTTTCAACACCAGTGTATACACAAATATGATAATGATTGTACACCACTTTTAGGCTACCAATATAATATGTTAACACTGTTTACAACTTTTTGTAAGGAAAAACGTTTTAATATGTTTTCATTATTTCATTTATGTGCTAATGCCTGGAACACAATATTTAGGATATTTGTTTGCTTGAATCACAACCCGCTTTTGCATTGAAAATGTAATTACTGCGGGTCTATGTGCTTCAAATGTGCACATGATATGCATGTACACACACGGACATATGTGTGCACACATGCATGCTCTCACACTCTCATAAGGTACACGATATTACTGCATCGTGAAACTACTCTCATTTATAATGCGAAAATGAAAACGAAAATCTGGCGAAAACAAATGGCTATTTGCGAACAGCTGTTTTTCACTGTCTTTAACTGAACCTCCTTATGCTCTGGGGTTCATACATCCAACTGAACACATGTCACATACGTATCAGTTTCTGCAAAATAAGCAATTTTCAAACACCTTAATACTACAATCACATTCACACATACCGTGCACACACATTCACTCATTACTAGAACATTCACCCACAGTGGTTATAACGTTCCCACAGCACTGTACAAATTCACTCGTTCTAAAACATTCACTCACAGCACTAAAGACATTCATTCATAGCACTACAAACATTCACAGACAGAACACTGTTGAACTAATCAAAATGAACAGTTGGAAGTTTGACTGGCACCATAACTGTGCTTAACAGGTCTCATATTTTGAAGAATATGACTGCTCGATTGTTCAGTAAAAACTTACCTCAAATATTCATAAACTGACTCATCACACGACTGAAGGTTCTCTGAAATAGCAGTTCTTAACTCCCCTCTTACATCTATACGACACCTACGATCCCAAAGAGAAGCATTAGTAAGGGCAAAATCAGGGGCAGATAATCCTCATACACTGGTGTGTCCTCCCACTGCACATCCAGCTCTGCCTGACACAGACAGCGGATGCCGGCCACGTGGGGAGCTTCTGTTGGTGATTGGGATCTGTGAGGAGCAAAGTCTGTGGATGAGGCTTCCGGGGTGGCAAAGTGGCACTCATGGCTTTGTCGAGTATCAGGTGCCCTTGTTGCAACATCAGATGTCTCCTCAGAAATGTCAAAAGAGGACGAGCTCTCAGGAGTAGCAAAGTGGTATTCGTGGCTTAGTCCGGAATCAAATATCCTTGTTGCAACAATAGATGTTTCCTCTGGAATTTCAGTAGAGGACGAGCTCTCAGGAGTAGCAAAGCGGCACTCATGTAAGACATCGGATTTCGTTGATCCAACACTTGAGATCTTCTTAACAACCTCGACAGAGGACGAGCATCCAGGAGTGGCAAAGCGGCACTCATGACCTTGTCCAGCATCGTATATCCTTGGAACATCAAAGGTCATCTCATCAACTTCAGTACAGGACGAGTTCTCAGGAGTAGCAAACTTGCACGCCCTGCTTTGTCCAGCATCAGATTTCATTGATGCAACAACAGATATCTCCTCTGCAACTTCACTAGAGAACGAGCTCTCAGGAGTAGCAAAGTGGCACTCATAGCTTTGTCTAACACAATGTTTCCTTGGAACATCAAAGGTCGTCTGAACAACCTCAGCAGAGGTCGCGCTCTCATGAGCAGAAAAGTGGCACTTGTGGCAGTGTCCATTGACACATTTCCTTGTTGCTGAGGTCTTCTCAGCAACTTCAGTAGTGATGGAACTATCATCTAGACTTTGACTTTCTGTCTCTAACATCTGGTTACAGCACGGAGGAGAGGTCATGTTGACTGCTGTGTCATGCCTGTGTTGGATGTGTCCACGAGTAGAAACTGAAGTGTCTTCAGATCCTAGGCCTATTGTTGGGGATCTGGGACAAGGACTTCTAGAAGCGGATGCAATCTTGCATTGCCTTTCTGTGGGAAGAACAGCTGGTGCTCCCAGCAACTCATCGTTCTCTCTGTTAGTGGATTTCATGTTTGATGGAGATACTTTGGCACTCCGTGTCATCACTTTGCTGTCCGTAGGTGTACATACATCTGATAAAGCACCATTGACTTCATCTTTACCAGGACCTGGAGGCGAGTACTTGTCGACTGGTGTGTTAACTCTGAGTATAGACCTGGGAGGTTCTTCCTGTGATTCCTCATCAATGGAGTCAAGGTAGCCGTGTGATGGCACGATCACGGTGGGGAACAGGACCTCCCTTGTGTACTCCTCCTGCAACAGCTGGTTTACAGTCCAGAGAGTAGGTCTCACGGCAGGATCCTCAGCCATACACATGTCAGAAACTGTCAACAAGGTTGAGATGTGGGAGACGCCATGGATCTTCTTCAGGACTCTGCCAAGACTGAATATATCACATGCAGCGGTTGTCTCAGCGTGAGCACAGGCCTCTGGGGCTAGATGTACACAATTCTTCATGTCCCCTCTGTAGGTTACCCCTGATTTGTAAGATGCTGATCCCATGTCACAGAATTTGACCAAAGGCAATGTCCCAGACATGTCCACAAGTATATTGTCTGACTTCAGGTCATTGATGAGAACGTCTTTCTTGTGGATTTTATTCAGACCACTGGTTATCTGACACACAATATTCAGCCAGTGTAATCCTGTCACTCTTGAATCGCACAACACGTCATAAAGTGTTAATCCGGTACCAACATACTCCATCACGATGTTGTAGCCATCCTCCTCGTCACTCAATAGTCCGTAACAGATAGGGACGCAGCCTGTGGACTCAAGGTACATGGTGATCTTTGCCTCATTAGCGATGGACTCCTGTGTTGTCCGGTTTGAAAAGTGTTCTTTAACCACCACGTCTCTACTCTGGCCAGGAGACACCGTTAACGTTGCTGCATATACTTTCCCAAATGACCCAGTGCCGATGATTATTTCCGTGAGACCATCTGATTCCAATTTGTAGTCGACTATATCAGAAGGAAGAGTTGGAATCTTGATGTGTCTAAAATCTGAAGACACGCAAAAGGAAGGTCCACACACCCTCTTGAAGACGTACTCAGAAGGGAAGGGTTCATGGCTGGCTGGCTTGTCCTCATCGTGGTGTAAGGCGGTGGCAGAAGTGATAGCATGATCACTGTGGTAGGCTTGTCCGAGAGAGGCTCGAGAGGGAGACAGGGTGCTCAAGGTAGGAATGTCTAGGACGTCATCCTCGTGCAGGAAAGAACGTGGAGACTCAGCCCTGAAACATAAATACAACATAAAAATGTGACCAACCCCTGCCTGATTCATACATATCAAACGTCAATGGGAGAGAACAATACATTTTGATTATTCCATGGACATACAACAACAACATTATATGAACGGATGACTAAAAATTAGTAATGACACGCTTGCGATTAGTTCTTGGATGGCAAATTGTCACAAAACAAACAGGATAATAAGAAGAAATGGAACAACTACAATAGGGCTATTGCCCTCGGCTCGTAATAACGTTTAACGAACATCGGAACACACTTAAGGTGTGCCTGAAGCTTAGGACCCCTCGTTTAGTCGGAAATCGTAATTAAAGAGTCAAACCATCCAAGAGAGAGAGAGAGAGAGAGAGCAGGGAGACAGAAAGACCCAGAGACAGACAGAGAAACACACATAGAGAGATAGAGAGAAGACAGACAGAGACTCGCAGCAGAGAGAAACAGAGAGAGACTCTCAGGGATAGAGAGAAACAGACATAGAGAGAGAGAGACTCTCAGGGGATAGAGAGAAACAGACATAGAGAGAGACTCGCAGAGGGATAGAGGGAAACAGACATAGAGAGAGACTCGCAGAGGGATAGAGAGAAACAGACCTAGAGAGAGACTCGCAGAGGGATAGAGGGAAACAGACATAGAGAGAGACTCGCAGAGGGATAGAGGAAACAGACCTAGAGAGAGACTCGCAGAGGGATAGAGAAACAGACCTAGAGAGAGACTCGCAGAGGGATAGAGAGAAACAGACATAGAGAGAGAGACAGAGACATTACCTTGTATACCTGTTCCTTCCTGTGCAGGAAAGGTCCTTTATCTGGCTGTTCAGGCAACTTTGCACTGGTGTCTGCTCCTCGGAAGACCCGTAGCATCCGGTAATGTCCGTCACCTCCGTCACGGCGCTGTGAAACGGCTGACATCCAGCAAGACAGGGTCGTGGGTGGTTTGGTCCAGCAGGATCACATAGCAGACTTGACCATGCACACCCACCACTCTGGTAGCCTCCATCGAGAAGCGGGGTGCACAAGAGCAGGAGCAGACCATCCTTCACAGACTCTGGAACCTCTGAGACAGACTTAACCAGAGATACTTCTTCGAACAGGTCGCTAAAATATGGCGGGCCGCACTGGTGTTCTGTTTGAACGGAAACATCAGACGTTGCATGGGCGTCCTGGTTCCCAGATTCGATCTCATCGATGTCCTCAAGTGAAGGCAGCTGTGTTTTTTGACATCTTGGTAAGACCTCAGTGTCTTCTCTCCTTTTCTTATTTGGTCGCGATATGCCTTGAACCGCACCGTTTGCTATATTCTCTAAGCCTGCACACGTGTTATCGAATTTGATTAAGCAGCGTGTTTGCCCTTCACCACGTGTTCTATGGACTTCTGGGTGACGTCTGTTCAGATAGCTGTGCCGTGGCTTCTGTCTTGTGCTCGCCAGAACTTTGGACAATCCTTGGTATGACTTGGATCCAGCGATGGCCGCGGCAGTTTCGACATTAGAGTCAGCTTCCTTGGAATTACCGTTGTTGTTACTGTTCAGGAAGGCTGTCGCATTAAACTGGACACTTCTAGTGACGACAAACACATGCTGTGAGAATCCATGAGATCTGTCTCTTGTTCTTGTGATGAAGGATTCAATAGCTGAAGTCCTGTATATAGTACCTGGTGCTCCAACTTGACTTTTATCAGTCGTGCTACAAGGCTCGATGACCCCCGCCATTTTAACTTCGTGAAAACCGCACTTCTCTTCACACGATGTGAAAGAACATGTTGAAGGCAGAAAGACTGCGCCAACAATGACGTGACGTCACAGACGAATCCAAGATGTCTCTGACGTCGCGAGACATGAAACATGGTTACTGATCTTCGCGTTATACAGTAAAACACAAAATATCCTTTCGTCATGTAAACCGTCAATATAGTCTACAAGTCTCAGTAAGTTTTATGGTTCGATGACATCATTTAAAATTTTTTGATACTTTTCGTCACAATTTCATGACGTCATAATCGTGTCTGACATCAGTATCAAGTTCGCTGGTTTTCGCTGTCACTCGTAAATGCACCGAAATAGACTTTTTGTCGCGGTGTCTTATCGGCTTTGCGTCCAAAACCAACACAAATATCGAGACATGAAAATACCAAAATTTCAAGCGCGTCTCACAAGATATGAAAGTACAATATTTCCCAGGGTCTATTCATTTCGCTCAAATTGATGGCCCAGCGTATACTCTGTTCAATGCTTTCACAGTTGCAACTTCCTTATCGAGTCTCATATTTTACAGACATCCAAAGAAATTCATCTGCAGGAAACGGTCAATATTTATTACAAACATATCACAGCATCCTCGTTGTGTAATAGATCCCCATCTACCTGTGAAGATCCGAGTTAGAATTTGTCTTCAGCACCCCATGCTTGTCGTAAGAGGCGACAAAAGGGGTCGGGTGGTCAGGCTCGCTGACTTGGTTGACTGACTGACTGGGTGTGGTTTTACGCCGCTTTTAGCAATATTCCAGCAATATCGCGGTGGGACACGAGAAATGCGCTTCACACATTGTACCCATGTGGGGAATCGAACCTGGGTCTTCTGTGTGACGAGCGAACGCTTTAACCATTAGGCTACCCCACCACCCCTATGACTTGGTTGACACATGCCATTGTATCGCAATCTCGGAGATCGATGCTCATGACTGACTGACTGACTGAGTATGGTTTTACGCCGTTTTTAGCAATATTCCATCAATATCACGGCGGGGGACACCAGAAATGGGCTTCACAAATTGTACCCATGTGGGGAATCGAAGCCGGGTTGATCACTGGGTTGTCTGGTCCAGACTCGATTGTTTACACACCGCCGCCATATAGCTGAAATATTGCTGAGTGCGGCGTTAAACAACAAACAACCAACCCGAGGCAGGGAGACAAAAGTACCATCATTAAACCTCGTCAGACGCTCCATCTAATATATCACGACAGTCTAAATTTAGGGACTTGTCCATAGCCTGCATCTCTATAAGTCAGAATTATAATAGATATATATGATCCATCCTGATTTGGGTAACATAATATTCATGTTGACTTTACATCCAAACATGTGGAATAAAAATTACATCGTCACAAAAACTTCAAAATACTTCTGAACGCACACCTAAATTCTAAATTAAACAGACGTATAACATCACATATTGATGAAACAAATTTTTGGTAAGATTTACTTTCCATTTTCACAAACTAATCACCCAACCGACAGTGCCACATTTGAACCCTATAATTTACATAACGTGAGGTCACGCGTGCGTTGAGCTTCCGGAAAGGCTTTTTCACCTTGAAAACAGGGTAGGCTCACAAATCTGCTCATACATAATGTCACCGTTTCTGTTTGACACTTAACTGTTTGTTATATACATTTGACGAACTGTGTGAGGTTGGACTGTCATTTGGGGAAACTGTCTCACAATGGGGTACAACTTCAAGGCATGATTTGGACGTTTGTTGACTTGCGTGCCAGTCACATGACACGTGCGAGACACCGATCAGATACGAAAACTGTTTTATTAATTCTACATGGTTATCAATCGTGTCAACAGTATTCCAGATGTGGGATAATTAATATATGACATACGTCTCATATAGCCATTGATTTGAGCAAAACTACATTTTAACTAGGTTATTCCTACAAAGCTACAATTTCACCAATGCTAGGTCTAACAACCTAACAACTGACAGTGCTAAGTTTTGACAATAATAAGATATCACTTGGAGACTTTGATCAAAAAGAGATGTTTTCGTTGTTTTATTCTATTAATTTCATTTCTGACCAGATATTTTTAAAAGTCTTCCACCAGTGTATAAAATAAGGCCCGACCGAGACGGGTTAGATTTCAGACGGACGGTCTGCAGATTTACAGCTAGCCAACCCGATGGTCTGGAAAAAAATTGAGATGTTAGATCTATATACATCTGAGTCATATCTTGGTGTCTGGTCTGGTTAAATCCATTTTGGACTGGTAACGTTTTGAAGTTACCAGCCCTGATGTCTGGCTGGGGTTTGGGCTTATTTCATACACTGCTTCAACATGTCATCTTGGTGACCATATGATAAAATATATACGTCATATGGTCTCTGGTCATCAGTATCTGGTAAATCCATATGCATTTAGGAAAATCAGTATTTCAGATTAAAAATATGCTACCTCCCAGCAAGTGATCATGATAATACAAAGGTATATTAGAGTAAGTAACCAGGCTTCTCTGAGAGCTGTTTTTGGGGCAGACTCTCAAGGCATGACCCTTCATATACTCATCAGAAATTTGATTTATGAAGCTGAAATACTGGACTATTTAAAAATATGAACATTCTCTTTTATCATGATTATATTCAAGATGGAATGGGTAGAGAAAATTCTCATTTCTGTGGTTCCTTGCAGTTATGTGACAGTATATTTGATTCCATATCCTACTGAGAATGTCTTTGTAATGCAAAGTTTAATGTCAGATTCTAAACATGGCCCCCATGACAGCCATATTGAAATTTAGAAATCATCCATTTTTGCTCAAGTTTAGTAAAATGTTCACAATTAAGTGAACAGATGATCTTAAAATGTTATATGTTGAATATTATATTAGCACTGTTGTATGTTTCCGTCAGCACCATGGAATCTGATGATTGTCACAAATCCCATGAGAATCCGCTCATGATTTGGTACGTAGTTACTATACAAAGGGATGAATATTCTGCATGTCTTGGAATTAAAATCTAACTTGGATGATCGACAGGACTGAGGTTCCTGGACCTGTGTCATGTGAGAATAATGTTCCATGTTTGTGACATCTGAGAGCTGCATCACTGACCCATTAAGATCCAGGTTAGAATTGATCTTCAGTAAGCCATGCTTGTCGTAAGAGGTGATTAACGGGATTGGGTGGTCAGGCCCGCTGACTTGGTCATTGCATCCCATTTGCTTAGATCGATGCTCATGCTTTTGATCACTGGACTGTCTGGTATGTCTGGTCCAGATTTGATTATTTACAGACCACTGCCATATTGCTGGAATATTAATGAGTGTGGAGTAAACTAAACTCACTCACACACTCACTCACTATTTTTAACTGCAGCCATAATGCTAAGACAAAAAGACATTTAGAATGAGAATAACAAGAATTCTCAATACTTAGAACTACACCTTTTTTACTTGTCAATTATTGATGTACACCTGTATATCATATCAGCTATTTACAGGCTGATTAAAGCATTTGCTTGTCACGCTGAAGACCCAGGTTCGTTCCCCACAATGGGTACAATGTGTGAAGCCCATTCCTGGTATCCCCCTACTGTGATATTGCTGGAATAATGTAATCGTATATATTTTCATGGGTGCAATATTCGCGGAAAGTTCACAAAAGACCTGTTAGCGCAGTTGTTTTTTCGTGCATTTCAATCATTTGAGTGATAGTATCCATCATAGAGTTTTCACAGCCGATCAACATGACAACACCTGTCCCATATGCGAGATCAACTGACAACGAATTAAGGAAGAGTGTACACTAGGACTTATGATAATTAAACATAGAAATCATAAAGTAGTATTTGTTGTTTATGAACACGTGTTGTTCACATGGTCAAATCGTTGATTGGCTGCATTTCATGTCTTTGTTTCAATTGCATGTTGTTCCAACTTGAGTATTTGTCATGACCATGAATATTTCGCTTGGTATGATTATTGATGCACGATCTTTTTGCGCTAAAAGCGCGAAAATTAATCCCACGCGAAAAAAACTATGATTACAATATAGCTAAAATCGGCGTGGTAAAACCCAACTCACTCATCCAAACTCAGTCCTGGTGACATGTTATTTTGTTTGTTTGCTGGTGAACGCCACACTCAGCATGTTGCAGCGGCCTTTACATTTTCAAATCTGGACCAGACAATCCACTGATTAACTGCGTGAGCAGTGATGAACACATTTGGGATACGATGAAGTGTCCACCACGTTAGCAATCAGCAACCCCTCTTATGACAAGCATGGGTTGCTGAAGACCGATTCTACCCCGAATCCTCACGGGTGTGGAACATGCTTTGTGAGGATCTGTGGTGTGAAGCTTCCAGGTGTTAATGCTGAGTGGGGGGCAATGGGGGGTAGCCTAGTGGTTACAGCTTATGCTTGTCACACTGGAGACCCGGGTTCAATTCCCCACATGGGTACAATGTGTGAAGCCCATTTCTGGTGTACCCTGCCGTGATATTGCTGGAATATTGCTAAGGCCAGACCAATTTTATTTCTTGTTTTACGGATTTTTGTCCTCAGAAAACCTAAATTTCCTAAAATACAATAATCTGGAGGGAACTGCTACAAACAATATTCGAGTGAGTATGGTTTTACGCCGCTTTCAGCAATATTCCAGCAATATCACTGCTGGGGAACACCACAAATGGGCTTCACACATTGTACCCATGTGGGGAATCGAACCCGGGTCTTTGGAGTGATGAGTGAACACTTTAACCACTAGGCCCCCCTGCAAATGATACATATGTATTGAGTTCTGACATCTCTGTCCTCATCACAAAGATGTCTCTGTGAGCATGTAGCTCAGGAAATAGCATATCGATGAATCAGTATGAAGTACATAAGGTAATCAATCTCCTACACCATCTGGTTATTAAATTTATTAGTTGTATATCTGGGCTGTTTGGATCGACTGTTTTTGTTTGTTCAAGATTTCATTCAGTATTATTTCCATTAATTTTGGTGAAATTAGTATTTGAACTAAATTGCAGATCACACCATTTCAGTGGTTTTCAAAAAGGAAATAAAAGACAATTAATCCTCTCAACACAATTTTTATAAAGTATTAAGAAAAAAAATTGAATACTCAAATTGTATTTTGATTGCAACCACTGACAAAAGGTTTCTGGAAATATGATCCATAAGATCAAAGCAGTAATGGCAGAAAGGTCTTACTTAAGTGAGACCCATGAAGTAATAAGATTGTTGGCGCGAAACATTAATCGTTCTGGATCAGTGTCCCCTGAAGTCAACTCTGGCTTCAGTGTCCTCTCTTATCAAACATACCTGTGAAGGTCCTGGTTAGAATATTGATCTTCAGTAACCCATGCTTGTCGTAAGAGGCGACTAACAGCATCGGGTGGACTGGCTCGCTGACTTGGTTTACACGTCATCATATCCCAATTGCGTAGATCGATGCGCATGATCTTGATCAATGGATTGTCTGGTCCAGACTCGATTATTTACAGACCGCCACAACAAACCAACAACAACTACTGAAGTGATGTTTATCATGTTTAATGTGCTTTCTCTTCCAGAAAAGGGAAAAGGAATAGCTTCAAATGGAGAAACAGCATTCGGTAAAGTTCTTCGAATCCTTTGTGAGAGATATTCACAAGGAATGCCAGAACTTTGTGTGCTTTGACCAGATGGTGGAGGTGAGTGGGTACTTGTGTCTGGAGATCGACAACGTCAAGAAGGAGAGGTATTTGTTGAGTGAACTCATCCAAAGCTCAGGCAGCGTCATCAGCGAGCGCTTTTGCACCAAGGTGTTTCGGAACTGCCCAACTCAACGGCCATCAGCACAGAGGGGAAATGGTAAGAGAAACATGACACCCCCAAACCCAGCTTTGAACCAGAACAGACCTGGACAGGGTGGGATAATCCGACAACAAAATATGTTGCAACAAAATACGCGTACCCATCTGAGCAGAGCAGGGCAAAGTCAACAGATGCAACGAACTTCTCAGGCTACCAGAAGTGGACAAAATGTTCCTAGTCATGTTCAGATGAACCCAAGAGTGCAAGGATTTCATATGAACCAACATCCACAAGCAAGTCCAGTTACAAGTAAGGGAGCAGGAACCATACAAGACAGACAAAGGCATAATTCTGTCAGCATTCCTTTAATGAACAGGCAAAGTAACAGCCAGGTGGTGATTGCAAAAAATCCTAACAAACTTTCTTTTAATCAAAGATTAGACCAAGCAGTAAACTCACAATCTGATGACACTCAGAAGACAAAGGACATCAATCAAGGTGTGAATCAGCAAGGTCAAGGTCAATATGCAAAGCAGTTTAATCAATGTCAAGGTGTGAACCTGCAAGGTCAGGGTCAATACACAAATCATCAAGGTCAATGTGTCAACCAGCAAGGTCAAGGTCAATACAGAAGCCATGAAGGTCAATGTGTTAACCAAGTTGAAGGCTTCCAGGTTAAAGAAGGAAGGAATCAGACCAATGTACAGGATCCTAACCTTGCAAATTTGTATGGTCAGAATGTGTTTCCTCAAGCTGTTCCTCAAAGCAGTGTGCTAGACAAGAGTAAGACAGCTGGAGCTGTTCATGCCATCATTAAACAAGAGGAAGATCAAACTTGTAAAGAAGTTTATCAAACAGCTTCTATTAACTGTAATCAGCGAAACATCCATGACATGAAGCCAACTATTCACAGTTCTGCTTTCACTGATCAAGACGGGGTTGGTGAAGTTAAAGGTGGCAATATTGACCGAGCACCCAGAACACCTTGTGACAGTTTACAACAAAAGGGTAGTAAAATATATGTCCAAGAAATTCCCCAGGCAGCTCAAACCTCAACTCAGGCCAGCAGAGTAACTTCAAGAAGAAGAAGCATTAACACGGGGCATGTTGGACAAAATCCAAGCTTAACAAACCAACAAGCCCGGCGCTTCAGTGCCCCAGTCCCAGATCAGGCTTTCCTTCAGCAAAGAGAAACCCCTAACCAAGGTGTTGAACAAACCAATCCAGTTCAAACTCTAGAAAAGGCTACACATCCATTAAAGTGGCAAGTTATTGAAGTGGAGCCTGAAGTATCAGTGGTTTCTGTGACCCCAGGTGTGTCTGCTGTAACTTTGTCCACGAAGCCTCTATCAGAACCTGGCTGCAAGGACCACCCTCTCCAAAAGGATCCAGCTGCAATGAATCAAAACAATCCTCCTCAGTTCATAAATCAAGGACCTGTAGCTCGGGCACAAGTCATGAATGTCACGGGATCATATAGCACAGGTCATGCACAAAAGATGCCTCAGACCCAAAATGTGAATCCTGCACAAATGTTGAAAACAGAGGCACCACCAACTCTGTCTCCTGTGGACAGCATTAACTTTGCAGAGTCATGTCAAAAACACCAACCATTTATATCTGTGCCACCTTGCGTCATTAACTCACAGTCACTGTCTCAGGAAGCCCAGCCAGCAGTGTCTAATTTGAAGAATACAAAGTTACAATCAGGTTACGAAAAACCAAGGTCAGAACCTTTTCCACAGTCATCAAATCAACCACCCAAACTACCTGTATGCACCACACAAGACGTATATCTGAGAGTATGTGCACTGAAACCTTCAAAGTCTGGTCCAAGTTCCAAGAATCTTCTTCAGTCATCAAATCAAGACCACAGACCCCCTGTTCTGATGCGAGAAAGGGAACCACCAGTCTTAGATCTCACAGAGTCCTCAAATGTAAACCCAAGACCACCCACACATTTCAACTCAAATCCCCACCCTCAAGCCCTTCACAAGAATATTGAGGGACGACAGATGTATAACTCTCCTACACTATCACCACAAACTCAAGGAGATGTATCAGGTCCATTGTCATCAGATTCATTTGAGACCACTGCCAGGAGACCTTCATATCTTCAGGAATCTTCCTTCTTGAGTTCATCGCTGACCTCAACGGCTCATAATGAAGCTGACAGACAGCAGATAAAAATGAAACCATCCTTGAGTCAACAGCCGGTGGCATCATCAACCGAACCCGTAACATCAGACTGGAAAACTTCCACAAGTCCGCCAATGGATCCCAATCCAAAAGCATCAGCTGTACCTGTTAAGAAAGCAAAGCTGAGCTTAGAACCAACTCCAGAAGACACTTCAATCTTGATGTCCAAGCAAACTAAACCAGCAGGCAAGAAAGGAAGAGAGACATCTGCCAAAAAACAAGTGAAGAAAGGAAGGCGAAAGTCCACAAAGCCAAAGAAGGTTGATGTGAATGATGTGACAAGTGATGAGGATAACTATGAGGTGTCAGCAGGTCCAGTCCCCAGGAGGAATCTGCGCAGCGCCCAGAGGACAGGGCGGCAGGTATACAGGGAGGAGGACCCTGACCTCAGTGACAGCAGTGTACCTGGAGACAACTGTCCTTAGGGAGCAGGGACTGTTTCATAGTATACCTGGAGACAACTGACCTCAGGAAGCAGGGACTGTTTCACATTGTACCTTTTATGAAGATTATTTTGGACATGAATATAATAGTCAGTTTTTTCTGCTTTTTTGTCATAAATACATACCAGTAGTTCAAAGTAAAGAGTGAACAGTGTCTCTAAATTTAAGGGTGAAATGGCACACTTCAAGGATCCCTATACCCACCTCAACAACCCTTATTCCCACCCCAAGGATCCTTATTCCCACCTTAAGGATCCCTATACCCACCTCAACAACCCTTATTCCCACCCCAAGGATCCTTATTCCCACCTAAAGGATCCCTATACCCACCTCAACAACCCTTATTCCCACCCCAAGGATCCCTATACCCACCTCAACAACCCTTATTCCCACCCCAAGGATCCTTATTCCAACCTTAAGGTTCTCTATTCCCTCCTCAAGGACCCTTATTCCCACCTAAAGGATCCCTATACCCACCTCAACAACCCTTATTCCCACCCCAAGGATCCTTATTCCCACCTAAAGGATCCTTATACCCACCTCAACAACCCTTATTCCCACCCCAAGGATCCTTATTCCCACCTAAAAGGATCCCTATACCCACCTCAACAACCCTTATTCCCACCTAAAGGATCCTTATTCCCACCTCAAGGACCCTTTATTCCCACCTAAAGGATCCCTATACCCACCTCAACAACCCTTATTCCCACCCCAAGGATCCTTATTCCCACCTAAAGGATCCCTATACCCACCTCAACAACAACCCACCCTAAGGATTCTTATTCCCACCTTAAGGATCCTTATTCCCATTCCTTAAAGGATCCCTATACCCACCTCAACAACCCTTATTCCTACCCCAAGGATCCTTATTCCCACCTAAAGGATCCCTATCCCCACCTCAACAACCCTTATTCCCACCCCAAGGATCCTTATTCCCACCTAAAGGATCCCTATACCCACCTCAACAACCCTTATTCCCACCCCAAGGATCCTTATTCCCACCTAAAGGATCCCTATGTACCACCTCAACAACCCTTATTCCTACCCCAAGGATCCTTATTCCCACCTAAAGGATCCCTATCCCCACCTCAACAACCCTTATTCCCACCCCAAGGATCCTTATTCCCACCTAAAGGATCCCTATACCCACCTCAACAACCCTTATTCCCACCCCAAGGATCCTTATTCCCACCTAAAGGATCCCTATACCCACCTCAACAACCCTTATTCCCACCCCAAGGATCCTATATACCCACCTCAACAACCCTTATTCCCACCCCAAGGATCCTTATTCCCACCCCTAAGGATCCCTATATCCCACCTCAACAACCCTTATTCCCACCCCAAGGATCCCTATACCCACCTCAACAACCCTTATTCCCACCCCAAGGATCCTTATTCCCACCTTAAGGATCCCTATACCCACCTCAACAACCCTTATTCCCACCCCAAGGATCCTTATTCCCACCTTAAGGATCCCTATACCCACCTCAACAACCCTTATTCCCACCCCAAGGATCCTTATTCCCACCTAAAGGATCCCTATACCCACCCTCAACAACCCTTATTCCTACCCCAAGGATCCTTATTCCCACCTTAAGGATCCCTATACCCCCTCAACAACCCTTATTCCCACCCCAAAGGATCCTTATTCCCACCTTAAGGATCCCTATACCCCACCTCAACAACCCTTATTCCCACCCCAAGGATCCTTATTCCCACCTTAAGGATCCCTATACCCACCTCAACAACCCTTATTCCCACCCCAAGGATCCTTATTCCCACCTTAAGGATCCCTATACCCACCTCAACAACCCTTATTCCTACCCCAAGGATCCTTATTCCCACCTAAAGGATCCCTATCCCCACCTCAACAACCCTTATTCCTACCCCAAGGATCCTTATTCCCACCTAAAGGATCCCTATCCCCACCTCAACAACCCTTATTCCTACCCCAAGGATCCTTATTCCCACCTAAAGGATCCCTATCCCCACCTCAACAACCCTTATTCCTACCCCAAGGATCCTTATTCCCACCTAAAGGATCCCTATCCCCACCTCAACAACCCTTATTCCTACCCCAAGGATCCTTATTCCCACCTAAAGGATCCCTATCCCCACCTCAACAACCCTTATTCCTACATCAAGGACTCTGTACCAACCTCAGTTTTAAACAATTCCGCCGTGATGTTGCTGGAATATTGCTAAAAGCGGTGTAAAACCAAACTCAGTCAGTCAGTTTAAACAATTGTCATATGAAAGCAATAGAGACTTATCTCAGTGTCAATATTTACTTCAATACAGCACCTCTCTGAGTGAAAATCGGCACAGGTCAACAGGTCATGTCAGGTGAACTTTACTATCGACCAATCAGAAATGAGTCTCAATAGACTTAGACCAGCATATCTGATATCTGTCTCTCAAAAACAAGAAATTATTCTCATTAAACATCTCTTACTTGGAAAGTGTTTTCAGAAGTGGGATTTTGTTCCCTGACATTTCTCTTATTTTGTTTTAGATGAATTATAAATTTCCCTAGAAAATGTTCACAAGCTTATGATATTTGTTATCATCATAATCTGACAGCTGAATCCTTTGAATCCCTGAAAATGTGAAATTTCTGAATTGTCATGGTCAAAAACATCTTTCATCTGGATTGGATGGACAAGGTCGGACAAAGGTCGCTCAGGGTTACCTCTGGTGACCTCTGGATGTGTCCCTTCTTAACGTGCAATTTTGATCTAAACAGGATTGTCCAGAATAGCAGAAGGGAATCTGTGATATGATATGATATGATAGAAGTATCATTACGTTTTTAGGGGAATCTTCTGGATAATTAAGGGTGAGTAACTGAAGGATATTTGGATGGCATTGAAGGTCTGCACACTGTAGATTAAGTGCCTTAATGTTTTCAGTTCTTGTGTAATCAATATAAAAGGACTCTTTTCTTTGTTGTGCGGTTACTTTGCAAATTTGTGCAAATACCTGTGACATTCCATGAAAGTCATTCATGCTGTGTGGGTTTTTTTATGTCATGTTTTAGCTGAATCAAAAATGTGATTGAGCTCAGCTCATGGCTTGTTTACCCATCATGCACCAGATGTCTTTGTGACTAAACATTGTTGCAACACAAAAATTTCTTCCATTTTGTTTTTTATTTCTTTGCTCACCTAATCTGAACGTTCATGTGAATATTTCCCATTGTCTATTTGCATTCTAATGTCTCTTAAGTGTTCACAGCATTCTGATTCTATTTTTAACATGTCTGCAATGGTGGCCATATTGAAAATTTTGTTTTTGCAAGAGTTTGAATATGCCATATCAGGCATAATGAAAAGATATTCATAGTAATTATTCAGTCACATTTGCAAATGCCATTAAACTTTTTCAAAATTCTATTTTCTAAAGAACATCTGAAAATCAGTGCCGTCAGCAAGTTTTGTTTTGTTGTCCTACATGACGAAACGCTGTTGCCAACATGGACAGGTGAGCAACAGTGCTGGGGCAAAATTTTCACTCACAATGTTTCTTTTAGATATATGTTGATAAATTCTATTTTTGTTTCATTTTCTGAATGTAAAGCAGTATCCTGGTTTAAGAAAGATGAATGCTGAGGATTGTTAGAAAAAATATATATACTGATTTTGTCAATTATAAAGCACCAGGAATTTTGGAATGTTATTGTTAATTGTTGTAGAGTTGTTTTTTTTTCGAATATGTTTTCGAATAGTGCAGAAATATCTTTGATTTATTATTTCACTGCTTGAAGGTCAGCTGTACCTTCAGTATAATTCAATAAAGGAATCACTTTCACCCTAGAGACAAACAGGATAAACTTTCTCATTGGCATGTAATGAGCACAGTTTAGAGGCTATGTAGCTTTATGTTAGACATGTTTTGCATGTTGAAGACTTTAATAAATCTGTACATTGTATAACTTGATTTGATAATCTTCACAGGATTGTGCGGACATAAGCAGACATATTTTCATTTGGTTTAGTACTTCGGCTGTTTTGATTTTGTATTCATGTTATGTTTGTATTAATTGAGTTTTGACTTCTGTTGTTTTGTTTTATTAAAGTTTTATAAAAGTATCTGATGTTTTTTATGTGTTCGTCATATAGATTTTACCTGCCAGGTGTATTTCTGTGAAGGCAGCAGTACAAAGACAACATCAGATGGCTACAGTCCTCCAAGTGTCAGTGCAGGAAAAGTCTGCAGTAGACATTTAAAAAACCCATGAAGATCTGGGTTAGAGTTGGTCTTCAGTAACTGTTGCTTGTCGTAAGAGGCGACTAACAGGATCGGGTGGTCAGGCTCCCTGACTTGGTTGACACATATCCTCTATCCCAGGGGTGGAAATAACCCATTGGCCCACGCCCGAGTCCAGTGTTTTTTTCTGTCGGGCAAGCAAATTTGTATATCACACTGTACCGGTGTCCAGGTGACTTTCCAATATTAATTATGTTGTTTATTTAAAAAAATCAACAAGAAAACGGCCAGTATAGTGGAAAAATTATCAGGGCAAGTGATTTTACATGTGCCACTGTACACTAGTGTTTAAATGTTATTTCCACCCCTGTATCCCATATGCGTAAATCTATGCTTAAGCTGTTGATCACTGATGTCTATTCCAGACTCGATTATTTACAGACCACCTCCATAAGGCTGTACTATTGCTGAGTGTGTCATTGAACAACAAACAATTGTAAACAAAACTTAGCATTAAACAACAAACAAACAATAGTAGATACCTCATACCTTGTTGATTGCAGTATTCCAGTTATGCCAGTTATGTCACAGCCTGTAAATTATAAAACCTCAGACTGTCTAAACCAGTGGGTGATGTTATGAGTGTGGTCCGGCTAATTCTGGGCAAGGTGACACACAGCCACTCACTCACTCACTACAAGCTATGGTGACCTCTGTGGCCAGGCATGACCCACTTAGGGTGTATTTTAACAAGGAATCCTATGACCATACAGTCCCTCTTGAGCAAACATAGGTCATTGGGGATCTATTTTTGTTCTGGATCCCATACAGTACCCTCGTGAGCAAACATAAATCATTGGGGACCAATTATTGTTCTGGATCCCATACGGTGCCCTCTTGAGCAAACATAGGTCATTGGGGACCTATTTTTGTTCTGGATCCCATACTGTGCCCTCTTGAGCAAACATAGGTCATTGGGGACCTATTGTTCTGGATCCCATACGGTACCCTCTTGAGCAAACATAGGTCATTGGGGACCAATTATTGTTCTGGATCCCATACGGTACCCTCTTGAGCAAACATAGGTCATTGGGGACCTATTATTGTTCTGGATCCCATACGGTACCCTCTTGAGCAAACATAGGCCATTGGGGACCTTGAGCAAACATAGGTCATTGGTTCTGTTCTGATCCCATACGGTGCCCTCTTGAGCAAACATAGGTCATTGGGGACCTATTATTGTTCTGATCCCATACGGTGCCCTCTTGAGCAAACATAGGTCATTGGGGACCTATTATTGTTCTGGATCCCATACGGTACCCTCTTGAGCAAACATAGGTCATTGGGGACCTATTGGACTGAAGACCTGAAAATATGGTACTTGTTGGTCCCTGCCTGGCACTCGGCATTAATGGGTACAACAAGGACTGGTTGGCTCGGAGTCAGTATAATGTGTATGA